GGCGGGGCCGGCGGGGCCGGGCGGGGCCCTTCGGACCTGGTGGCGCACTTCGCTTTGAACAGCCGCGCCCCGTCGTGGATCACTCTGGTTTGATACTGGTTCCTTCTGCACAGGGGACAGGTTTTCTTATTCGTGAACTTCTCAAAAGCCTGAAGGCATGCCTGAAGAGAAACATTTCATTTACAATCTTACGAGTAATTACTTATAAACAACATTTTTACTTCTGATGTAATTACAGTGTTCTTTTTCTCTCTTAATTATGAGACTTAGTCCAATTAAGATTGTGAAGAAGTTTCATCAGGTGTTGACACCATCCTCGTGAAACTTGTTCCCAAAGTGATGTTTTACCGGGACATAACGCAACACATCAAAAAGGGCCGGAAACCCGTCGTGTCATGGCAGATGACCCCCGTGGACAAGGCCGCCGCGCGGTCAGATCGTAGGATGTGACCTGTCACTCAATCTTATGTGCGTCACTAACAGCGGTCCGTCACAAGCATTTGTGGTTCTTCTGTCACGTAAAATTCACCGTTTCCAAAACAGGCTGAATGTATTGTAGCCCAAAGTCATATTTCTAACCGTAAATGGTGATTATGGATAAAACAAGCGGCCTTTTTAGGGACCTAGTGAGCGGGACTCGGCTGCGTCCCCCAAGCTGCAGAATGACAGTCGCACACTCTGATGCGAGGGAAGCCGGATTTACTCACTCTGTGAAACACGTGGGAGCATGAAAGCAGCACCTGTTCATGGGAAGACAAACAAAATGTTTGAAGTTTAAATTAGTTGAAAAGAGAAGCAGCATAAACACATTAATTAAAAGAAAAATTTTGAATGCTTAAAAGGTAAGCTGTGTTGTTTCTTTGAAAAATTAAAAAAGCAAATTAATAACCTTGATATTTATAATATTTAGTGTCCAAGTTTAGCACGGCACAGGTATATAATCTCAACAAGAAAAACTAAGTTAACCACAATCCGAAACATCAAACACACACATGAAGTTTGCTATTAAGCCATTAAAATGTGTGTGTGTTTAAGAGTGAAACAATTTCGAAGTAGGCGTGTTTCCTGGGCAGACCCTAAGAGAGGGCGCAGGCTGGAAGGGGGGAGCAGAGGGGGAAAGTCAATTCCTTTTTCGAGGCTTTGTTCAACTACATTGAAATTTTAAAGGACCACAGCTTTTTGAGATAGAATTCTGACACTGAACGTTAAATAGCAATAAATTCTAGAGACATATGAATCGCTTTTTCTTTTTTAAATGCGGGAATTTCCCCTTTCTGTGATCCAAATTCCCCACCAAGCAGTGATATTCTGGGGTGTGATAAAAAGACCTGGAAGCTTAGACTGAATACAGAAAAAGGCATTTGGTTCTTCTGGGAGGGAGGGCGGAGGGGGGCCAGCTTCTGTCCACCCCCCTCTCCCTAAGCTTCTCCGTGGGCAGAGGCTCTCCTCTGACACCCCTGGGTGAGGCTGATCCCAGACACCTAGGCCGCCTGATCTGGGGAAAACTTCCCGTTTCTTAAAGTGACCACTTTAAATATGCTCTAGGTCCATCCGTGTTGTCACAATGGGAAGGTTTCATTCTTTTTTACGGCCGAGTAATATTCGGTTATATACACGATTAGATTATTCTTTCGGAAATATCTGGTACGTGACAGCTGTTTAATGGGGGCGTTTAACTCATCACACACATAGTTTAATTGGTGGAAAAGAAAATGTAAGCGCTTGAGGGTCACATAGCAAGAACTGGAAAAAAGCCTTGGACCTTTTTTTTTGTACTTAATGTCTCGTATTAAAGTGTACACGTGAGAATATTGGACTCTGAGGCCCCAGTTTAGAGTCTGCTGGGTAGAGAGGGGCCGCCCGGCTTGCTTATCTAATCTCCCCGCTGAACACCTGGGGGCGAAGTTCAAATTCTTCCTTGCAGATGGGGCAGGGCTGCGTGGAGTCCCCTTGCGAGATGGACCTCTGTTTCACTTTTCCCCACTCGTCTGGGGACAGTGGCAACGGGGGAGGGTCAAACAGGCCCAGCTTCTGCGCTGAAGTTAAACAACACAAAACACGAGTTAAAATACATTTTAGGACACGGTACTCGCATATAACTTGAATGACATCTTGTAAACATTAATGCAGAACACATCGCGTGCTTTATCCCGCCGTGGACGGACTCCTGCTTTCCCAAGGCACAGAGGGGGCGACGGGGTTCCCTGACGTCCATGTTCCATGCCCCGTTCACGAAGCATCCCGAATCCGTTCCTTCCGCAGGCAGGGCTGCGGTCCAGTTTCGTAGAAGGAAAAGTGAATGCTGAGTTCCACGTGCGCCGGCCACAGGGGCTCCTCACCTGTCACCTGCGGCCTCCTCGCCTCTCACCTGGTGTACCCTTCCGCCCCAGCATCGCCTTCTCCCAGGCCGCGGCTGCCACCACGGGACTTTATGGAATGAGTGTCCACCGAGTTCTTCCTTTGCTAAAGAACGCTTACGGTGCATAATTGCTGTCAGGATAAATCTGTCCCTTCCACGGCATCTGCGTGCGCGCCACCCGTCCGCGGCGGCCGGAGCACGGAGCGTGTGTTTCAGTAGGAATGTGCACTCGAAAAGCACCCGCGGGGACAGGAGCACTGTGTCCCCCCCTCAGGGGAGGGTGACCTCCACGGCTGTCTTCAGGGGTGGACAGGGAAGTGTGGCGTCTGGAGCGGGAGCGCTCAGGGCGCAAGGAAGAGCTCCTGGGAACAAGCTTTGATGGAGGAACGTGAAAGTCAAGTGCGGGCTGGGGACGAGGTCAAGGTCACCTCCCAGAGGGCGGAGAAATAAGCTGAAGCAGGAGACGAAATAAGACAACGAAGGGGTCAGTCTAACAGGGCCGACGTCTGAAACGCCGGCCTTCCCGGAGGAAAGCAGAAAACCGAGAGGAAACATTGTAAACAGTGAAACATTCCCCAGCAGAGGACGGTTTCGAGTGTGCGGGCCCCGCAGAGCCAGACGGAGGACCCGCGCCGGTGCCATCGCCGTGGACGCTCAGAGCTGCAGACTGAGCCGATGCGAGAAGCTTCTGGAGGGCGGGCGGAGACACCGAGGCGGGGCTCGGAGGAGACGCGGCATCTGGGTGCAGAGTGCGCGGCCTCGTGCGGGGGGCGCAGGCGCCAGAGGCGGTTCCCGCGTCCGGACCCCTTGGCTGCCCATCGGACGCGAGGGCGGGACAGGCACGACCTCCCTTTCCCAGGAAGCCAGCGCCGGGCCCCTCCCCACGCAGGCTGAGGGTCCCCACCGGCCAGGGCCTCAGGCGCGGTGCTGCTGGGGACGGAGCGGCGCGTCCGGCGGGAGCAGGGTGACGCGCCGGTCTACAAGGACCGGCTCCAAAGAGCACCCCTGTGTTTAATGGGGCGGGAGAACATGCTCCGGAAGGAGATCTTCGACGGCCCATGTCGGGTCTTTTCCTATCGGTTAAGACGCATCGCAAGACTGAATTAAAACAGCGAGATACTGACCTTGAAACTGAAGCCCAGAAATCACGCGCGCCATCTCCCATGCGAACAAACGTGGGAGACCCGGCAAGGGCGGAGGTGGCAAAGGGCGGGTCTGGGTTGGAGGGAAGAGCCCAGCGTCATCTTTTGTACCAGGCGATGTTCCCGGCGCCATATGCAGAACAAGGAGGGCTCACCGCGAAGGCGCCACTATGAAGGCGAATAGCGGGGAAGTGGGGGCGTCTCTGTGATCTCCGAGAGGGCGAGGGTCCCTTAGGCCCCCCCCCCCGCCCCCAAGCATGAACGATAAAGAGAAACCTGATGGATGGAACAGCGATCGGAATGAAGACGTTATTCAATAGAAAATAACATAAAATTAAGTGACGGCGACAGATGGGGAGGGGACATCAATGTTACGTATAGATAACAATTAAGAGCATATGGTCCAACCTCATAGTAACCAATATGCATGATAATTAAAAACAATTTAAGAGCTCCTAAAAAAATGACTGATTTATTCTCCTTTATAACCCTATTTATTTTCCGAATTGGGAAATTCTTCCTGATGCCTAATTTAGATCTCTCCTGCTAAGCTGACCGTGCAGAGGCCCCCTGATCTCTCCAAGTACACATGCATGGCAGAAGACACCACTGGAGCGTCAGGCGACGTTGCCCCCAAGCCCCCGCCTGGCCTTGAGCTGGGAAGCCACCAGCCTGTGAGCAGCAGCCTCCCCCGCCACGCGGTGCCTCTGTCCCTCACACCTGCGCTAGGACACAGTACCCCCGGACACGCCTATTTTCCACACCCCGCGTCATTTTACAATCTTCTCTAATTTTCCGTTTAAAATAATTTCAGGACCTGCAAAAGGCTGTACAAACAGTGTGAAGAATCCTCAGGCGCCTTTCAGCCAGTGTCCCC